CGGGAGACCTGTGAGAAGGAAGCCTCTAGGCCAAGGACTGGGTGTGATATTGGCAGGGGCCGAGGAAGGAAGTGCTCCCAGGTGACAGTACTGCACATCCAAAAGCCTGCAGGGCAAGGGGCTGCGTGGACAGGGCCTGAAGAGACCATTGTGGCTAGGACAGAGGTGTCTGGCAGAGCTGGGTCACACAGGGCCATTCCATGTTTGGAGCTGACTCTCAGCACAAGGGGCACTGATCTTAGGCAGAGGACGTTGTGGCTTGCTGCGTGCATTTGAAAGGTTCACTGGCTGCCCATTAGAGGGAGGTTGGTGGAGCTAAGACAGGGCTCCACGGGGGAAGACATTTAAATCAGGGGGGAGGTGACAGAGTCAGAGAGGGGGACCTTGGGACATAGTGTATGAGAACTAAGGAATTGTTGACTGGTTGTGAGGCAGAAGGGAATCAAGGTTTGGACGCTGAGGTCAAGACCCAGGGGCAGGCAGCCAGAGGGAATTCTGGGAAGAGGTTAGACCTGGATCTGGTGCCAATGGAAAAACAGCGGCTAGAGATTGAGCCCAGAAAGCGAAGGCACCCTGTGGTGGTCAGAGCTGATTGTGGATTGTGGGTGGGATTGCTGTAGGTGAGAGGCGGAAGACAGGGTAAGGATGGAAAATTGGGTCACACATTTCAGGGAGGGACCATTTGGGAGCCTGTGAGCTCCTGGAGGCAGGAGTGGTTCTGTCCCTGCCCCGTGCTGTGTGCGCTGTGCCCGCAGCAGGGCCTCTCATGCAGGCTCTGCTTCGTGGATGCTTGCGAGGTCTGACAGATTTGAGAAACAGGTGCATGCAGTGTCGCAGAAGCCCACAGAGCTGGAGGTTGGCATTTGGGGCAGTGACACCAAAAGCTTCCAGGGGATCGAGTTAGATAAGAGTGGAACAATGGCCTAGGCCTGTGACAGCAGAACCCCACATACCCAGTGCCAAGGGAATGACAGGGAGGGAGGAAGACTCGCCCTGAACTTTCAGGAAGCCACTCGTCTGGCCAGAGGTGAAAGGGAAGAGGGAAGGAGGAAAGGGGGAAGGTCAGGGCCAGTGCTGCTTCCTTCATGATTAAAGAGACCTGGTCTGTGTGTTTAGGCTACTGAGGAATTGAGAAGAAGGGGCTAGTGCCGGGGCTTGGTGGCAGAGCACCTACCTCGCGTGGGAAGGCCTGGGCTCCACCCCAGCTCTGCAGAAGGGGGAAAAGGAAAGAAAGAAAAATTGAGAGGAAGAGCTGGGGGGCTGATAATAAGGAACATGGTTTTGTGCAGCTGAGCAGTTTGTGAGCTGTCACTTTGCCTCACACCAGCCCTGCACAGGGGGCTTGGGGGGGGGACAGTTAACTCCATTCTACAGAGGGGAGAACCCAGGGATAGAGGAGGCTGTGACATGGATAATTGATTCTTCTCCCACATCCCAGCATGGCCTTACCTCCTGTCCCCTGTGCCCTAAGCAGTGCCTGGCGTGTAGTAGTTCTCAGCAAATGTCTGCTGGGTGGCACTGCTCAGTGGCCAGGAACAGGAGCCCAGGGCCAGGTTGCTGGTCTTCCACCCCCCCAATCCACCCCACTGCTCAGCGTTGATTCTTCCACTTCTTCACCACCTCCAGCAAGTCCCCATCCCTCCTACCTGGGAGATGTACCCAGAAACAGCCCATACCCCACCCTCTGGGGTCCTGCCACCACTCCCCTCTGGGCCACCTCAGCAGTCTCCTTTTCCTGCCCATGTTCCTCCCCCACCCCACCCCCATGAAGCCAGAGGGGACATTTTGTGGAGTTGTGTGCGTGTGTATGTGTGCATGTGCTGCTTAGAACCCAGGGTCTGGAGTGTGCTGGGCAAGGACTCTACCACTGAACTCTACCCCCAGCCCTTTTTATTTTTTATCAGGTCAGGTCTTGCTAAGTTGTCCAGGCTGGTCTTGAACTTGTGATCTTCCTGCCTCAGGGTCTGAGTCACAAGGATTACAGGAATGTATCATGGTGCCTATCTGTCAGGGTTTAATCATTGTCATCTTTGCCAGAGAGATCTGGTCTGGATTCCATGGCAGTCAACTCTGTTTGGTCCTTTCACGAGCCGTGTTGCTCTCTGTGCCTTGGTTTCACATCTGTCCAATGGGGGTGGCCATTTACTCACACTGAGCACCTGCTTTAGCTCTGAGGTTCAGCTGTGAACATGGTGAAGGTCCCCACCCCAGGGTCTCGCAGTCCAGTGGGGAGACAGTGAGTAAAATAAAGAAAACAGCTGATCGGTCAGCTGGTGCCGAGTTCAGTTGTCAAAATGAAGTAGGGAAGTGGGTCAGGTACCACCCCAAAGGGAGGTACAGCTGTGGGTGGGGTGATCAGGGAGGGCCCCATCCGCAGGCGGAGAGGGGGAACTGTGTGCGCATGATGGGGAGAGCATTCCAGGCAGAGGCACAGCTAGTGCAGTGGCCCAGAGGTAGGTGTGTGCCAGGTAGGTGGCAGGTATGTCTGGTGAGCATTGAAAGGCCAAGGTGGCTGGACCTGAACCACTCTCCCTGAGTGACTGAGAGCGTGGGAGACAGGGACAGAGCCCTAGTTTATAAAAGGCTTGGTGCGTATTAGACCCCAGAGTAGCTGTATTTTGTAGATGAGTGGATGGGTGACAAAGATGGATGGACGGATGATGGGTGGGTGATAGGTAGGTGATAATGGACGGGTAGATAGGTGACGGATGGGTGGGTAATGACAGATGGATGATGGAGGGATGGATGGATGTGGAGGGGTAGATTGGTAGATGGTAGATGGATAGGCAGAGCCTGCGCCTGAGAGCCCATGTGACGTCAGCACTCTGCTGATGACCCCAGCCCCTGATTTGGCAGGAGCAAGAAGGAGAGCTGCAGAATGAGTGAGCGTCCACTCTCTTCCCCTGCAGCCTCGAAGCGGAGGACTCCGGCCTCCCCGCCGGGCATGGCCGACCCCCACCAACTTTTTGATGACACGAGTTCAGCCCAGAACCGGGGCTATGGAGCCCAGCGGGCACCTGGTGGTCTGGGCTACCCCAACACCTCTGCCTCCGCACAGGCGGCCTTCCTGGCAGATCCTGTGTCCAACATGGCCATGGCCTACGGGAGCAGCCTGGCCGCGCAGGGCAAGGAGCTGGTGGACAAGAACGTGAGTGGACCGGGGCTAGGGTGGGGGGACGGCAGGGGCTGCAGGATCTCAGGCTTGAGCTCTGCCTCCGCAGATTGACCGCTTCATCCCTGTCACCAAGCTCAAGTACTATTTTGCCGTGGACACCGTGTATGTGGGCAAAAAGCTGGGCCTGCTCGTCTTCCCCTATCTGCACCAGGTTGGCACTGCGCTGCCCGGCGGTCGGGGTTGGGGTCCCAGGGTCAGCGCTGTAAGCAAGGCAGGAGGAGCCCTGCTCTGGGGATCCTGCCCGCTTCCCCTTTCTCCCCACAGGACTGGGAGGTGCAGTATCAGCAGGACACCCCAGTGGCCCCCCGCTTTGACGTCAACGCGCCTGACCTCTATATTCCAGGTTTCACCCTGCCCAGCCCTGCCCACAACCCCCTCCCTCTGGTTGGGCACGTCTCTGGCAGAAGTTTGGGTGCCAAGGCCTAAAATGGCCCTTCCTCTGACCACTGTCTTGTGTCTTCTCCTACAGCGATGGCTTTCATCACCTACATCTTGGTGGCTGGCCTTGCACTGGGGACACAGGATAGGTAAGGGAGTGGGGTGGTCTTGGGGACCAAGGCACATCAGGGAGGTCTCAGTCCATCACCCTCACTGTCCCCTTGCCTCCCCTCTCTTTCCCAGCCACATGCAGCCGTCACACCCTCTAAATCCATCCTTCCTCTTAGCCTCTACCCGAGATCTGTCCTCTTCCTCACTCTCCTGAGCACGTTTCCCCCGCCGCCCTCACTCCAGGGGCATCTGGGAAGGTTTTATGTGAGCTGTGGGCTGGGCCGCACCCCACCCTGACCCATACAGCTGCCAGCAGCCCCCGAATTGAGCCCCAGCTCCTCAGCCTGGCATCTCCATCCCCTTTGCTCCCTCTGCCGTGCCACTCTGTCCCTTTCCACTCCAGAGGGCCTGGTGCTGCCCCAGGGCCTGGGCACTTCTGTTACTTTGGCTCAGAAGGCTCCTTCCCTATGTCACCTGCTCATGCCTCACCCAGCATCGACACCTCTCCTCCAGAGCGAGCCCCTGTCTTTCCCTCATAGTCCCTTGTCCTTTCCCTTGTGGCATGAAAACAACTGTCATTAGAAGCAGTTGATTAATGGTTGAGCCCTTCTCTGACCACTGCTTACTCCTTCAGACCTCAGCTTAGCTGTCCTCTGTTCTGGGAAGCCCCTTCTGCCACCCCTTCTGGCCTGTGTGCCACAGCCCCCTGTGAGTCACACCTGTGATTGACCCTTGTGGGTGTCACTGCCTGGGAACAAACTGGTATCTTGGAATGGGATGTCTAGGAGGGCAGGCCCAGGTCCCTCTTGGTCACTGCTGGGCTGTCCTAGGCCAGTGCTCAGGGGGGGGTCTGAGCCAGCAGCTGAATGACAGAGCTCGGTCCCACAGGTTCTCCCCAGACCTCCTGGGCTTGCAGGCAAGCTCAGCACTGGCCTGGCTGGCCCTGGAGGTGCTGGCCATCCTGCTCAGCCTCTACCTGGTCACTGTCAATACCGACCTCACCACCATCGACCTGGTGGCCTTCCTGGGCTACAAATATGTCGGGTGAGTACCCCCAAACCTGCCTGCCAGCCCCGCCCTTGGGCCCTGTCCTCAAACCAGCCTCCATTCTCCCTCTCTCCAGCATGATCGGCGGGGTTCTCATGGGCCTACTCTTTGGGAAAACTGGCTACTACTTGGTGCTGGGCTGGTGCTGCGTGTCCATCTTCGTGTTCATGGTGAGCTGGGGCTCAGGGTGGGTAAGGCTGAGGACACAGGCCTCCTGGACATAGTTGGGCCCTGGGGCATCCAAGCAAAGGATGTCAGAGAAGGAATTTAGACGGGAGCTGTTGCCAAACTGAGGGCCATGGAGTGGCTAACCCAGCCTGGGTCAGGAGGGCTTCTTAGAAGAGGAGGTATCCAAGCTGGGTCAGGCAGAGCCGCAGGAGCCAGCATTGGGGCTGGTGAGGATTCCCACCCAGGCTGGGGGCTGGGTCCCCACCCTTCCCCTTATGTGGGGAACTTTCCCACCAAAATGTCCCTGGAAGGAGATTCTCTAAGAGCCCTTCCATCCGGAGTGGGGTTGCTGGCAGAGGGCCCTGGCTTGGGTTGACCCGAAATTCATGCCTCAGATCAGTTCTGGGGTTAAACCTCAGTTTCCCCTTTTATAAAATGGGATGGTGATTCTGCATGTCAGGGTGCTGGGAGAGGTCAGAGCCCAGGGTGCACATGGGGCGCAGGGCTACTGGGCTGTAAATGACCCATGAGCAGATATGCTGATGTCATCATTTCAAAGTTAAAAAAATGCATTTCAAATATTTTAGAAAATAGCATTTCTAGCTGGGCACATTTCTAGCTGTAATTCCAGCTACTTAGGAGGCTTAGGTGGGGAGATCTCAAGTTGGAGGCCAGCCTCAGCAACATAGGGAGACCCCATTTAAAAAAAACTGAGGTGGGGTGGGGGCAGCCTTAGGCAGTATGGGTCCCACCTATAATCTCAGTTACCGGAGGCTGAGGCAGGAGAATGAAGGCCACCCCGGGCAATAGTGAGACCTTGTCTCAGAAAGGTTGCGAGTATAGCTCGATGGTAGACTGGGTCTGGGTTCAGTCTGGGATTGGGGAGGCAGGGTTGATGATCTAGTTTGTCTTTAAAAATGGTCATCCCGGAGGGTGCCAGGTGTAGCACGGAGGGTGCCTTGTCAAGCACGTGAGAGGCTCTGCATTTGATTTCAGCACCAAGAGGGGAAAAAACCGTGGCTGGTAAAGCTGTCTTACTGGCATTTGAGTCTAGAACCCTCATTTTTGCTCACGGACCCTGCTGGAGATGCAACTGGAGGCTGCAGAGGGGCAGGATCTTGGCCCAGGCTGCGGGTTCTTGTGGGCAGAGGCTAGAAGTCCGCCCAGTCCTCCCGCCGCTCAGTCCTCCCACCGCCCAGTCCTGTGGCCCGGGCGGGTTGGTGGCGAGGGTAAACCCAGCGCCTGTCTCCCCTCCCCTCCCAGATCCGGACGCTGCGGCTGAAGATCCTGGCCGAGGCGGCGGCTGAAGGGGTACCGGTGCGCGGGGCTCGGAACCAGCTGCGCATGTACCTGACCATGGCCGTGGCGGCGGCGCAGCCCCTGCTCATGTACTGGCTCACCTTCCACCTGGTGCGGTGAGGGCGCCCGCGCAGCCGCCCGCCCGCTGCCGCCGCTCATCTCCGCCCGCCTCGGGCCGCCTTTCGGGGCAGGGCTGCCGCCCGCGCCCGCCCGCGCCCCTCTCCCCGCCAAGGTGCTGAGATCTCCAGCTGCACAGCGAAACAATAAAGCCTGATGGACTGGGGCCGCCTCCGTCCTTGGGACGCCGGGCAGGGGCCTGGCCGCCCAGCAGGGGGCAGCGCCGGGCCGGGGAGCGGAGCGACGGGGGCCGGGGAGCGGAGCGACGGGCGGGAGCCAGACACAGCGCCACCATCGGGAGGGTTTAATCAGTGAGGGGACTTATTGCCCTTCTCCTTCTTTTCCTTCTTCTCCTTCTTGTCCTTCTTCTCCTCCTTTTTCTTCTTCACTTTGAGCTTCTTGGCCTGGCCCGGGGTGGCTTCGTGCTGCTTGGCGCCCGCAGCGTGGCACTGTGGGCAGCGGGTGGGAGGGGAGATGTCCAGGCTGTCCTGGGAACGGCCCCGCCCAGCGCTGACCCCCACCCTGGCCTGCCTGGGCCCGGGCAGCCCTTTACCTTCCCCTCCGCATCTGAGTCGCTGGAGGAGCTGCTGCTGCTGCTGCTGCTGGAGTCTGAGGAGCTGCCATTGCCATGCTGGGGGACAGGGATGACAGTGAGGGCGGGGAACCCCTTCCCAGACCCCCACCCCAAGTCGGAAAGCCGAGGTGCCACAAGGTCTAAGGACCAAAGTCGAAGCCAGGTCGCCCCATCCCCCTGCATGCCTGGTGGCGAGGTGACTTACCCTTGGTTTCCGAGGTGCCCCCGCCTCTGGCGGGCACTGAGCCTTGGAGGGACCGTGCCAGGGGTCTCTCACCTGGCCTGTCCCCGCTGGCTTCTTGGAATTAGAGTCCAGGGCTGCGACACAAATAAAGTTGGGTGGGTTGGGGGGTATCGGAACCCCCGGCCCGCTGAGCCTGCCCCCACCCACGGGGACCCCCCGCCCGGAGCGCACCTGTTGCCAGGTTGAACTCCATGGTGGCGAGTGAAGGTGGGTCGGAGGAGCGGGCAGTGCCCGCAGGGAGGAGGAGGAGCGCCCAACCTGTAGCCCCAGGAATTCGGAGGAGTCCCACCCTCCCAACCTTTGTCCCTGCAGCAACTAGGTCCTGACTCACCGCCCCTCCCTGCCCTACCCACACTTTCCTCCGTAGGCAGGGGGGAGGCGGACAGTTGATTGCCTGTTCCGGATCCAGGCCACCGGTGGACGGGCTGGGGTTGGGGGTGTCGGAGCTGCAGGTTTCTGGGGAGAGGATGGAGGGTTGTTGTAAGCTTCCCCTCAAAAGGTCGGATGGCTGCCCTGAAGAGATGCCCGTGCAGGCCGCCGGGGTCTTCACTGTTTAACTGAGGCTCACAGCCCCTCTCCCGCCTGGAGAGAAACTGGCTGGGGTGAGGCGCCCAGGCCGGACGGGGCCTGTCCATTCCAGGCCCAGCTGTGTCAGCAGCAGAGAGACTTCCAGAAGGTTGTTTCACTCCCGGCCTGTGAGTGACAGCTGCCGCTGGGGCTGTGCGATCTGGGTGGGTTGGTTTCCTAGACTGGAGCCTGGCACAGATGGAATAATGCACATGGAGGATATGAAGTGGTGCCTTTAGTTTTGTTTTGAATAAAGGCAGGTGTCTTAGCTTGGGCTGCTGTAACAAATACACCACAGATCCAGGCTGGGAGTTAAAGACCAAGGTACAGAGGAGCTGGTGTTTCTAAGGGCCACTTCCTGGCTTGTGAACAGCTGCCTTCTTTCTGCCGCCTCAGTGCCCCAGAGCAAGATCTAAGGACACTAACCCCATTCCTGTGAGCTCCACCCTTCTGATCTCACAACCGCCCTAGAGTCCCACTTCCAAATACCATCACGCTGGAGACTGAGCTTGAGCAGCATCGCAGCATCCAGCCCAGACAGCAGGCCCTGATACTACTTATTTTCAGATAGGAAGGCCGAGGGAGTCACAGGAAGATGCAGGGCGAACAGGGGTTCAGGCTCTGGCAGAGTGGCTGAAGTCAAAGCTCAGCTTGGCTTTCCGACTCACCCTGGGGACTCTAAACTGAAGGGATGTCCAGCTGAGCCCAGCCTTTTTACCCCTGAACCAGGCTTGAGTCAGACTGGGAGAGGAATGGGGGCCTAGCCTCTGTGACAGTGGGTGTCCTAACTGCACAAAGGGAGATTCTAGGCAGGAAAAGTGGCTGTACCCTCAGATATCTGCTCTAAATGTCCTCAGAGGTGCCTGCCCTGTCTCTGTCATTCCATCCCTTTCTCCTGCCCGGCATAGCCCCTGCTCACCACCATCTGAGGTTATCTTCATTCTTTATTCCTTTGGCATATATTTAATTGAGCACCTTAGATATCCAGTACAGTTCAAGGGCTAGGGGTACAGAGGTGAACAAAATCAGCCTCATGGAATTGACAATTCTACTGAGGAAAGCAGAGTAAAATGTACATAGTATGTTAAGGAAAAACTGGGGAAAAAAAGTTTGTCATTTGGTGAATGGATGGACAAAATGTGGCATGCCTATCAGTGGAATAATATGCAGCAATGATAAGGAACAAGTCCCTGACACCCTGCATCACGGATGAAGCACACAATGCTATGGAAAAGCGGCCAGATGCAAGACTCTAATGCCTGATGTCATTTATGTGAAATGTTCAAGGAAGGCAGTTACAGAGACAGTAGTTAGTGGTTGCTAGAGGGCTGATGAGGGGGGACTGGGGATTAACTGTAAATGCACAAGAGGTAATTAAAATGTTCTAAACAGCATATGGTAATGGCACCTACAGTTCCAGCCACTTGGGAGACTGAGGTAGGAGGATCCTTTGAGTTCAGAAATTTGAGTCCAGCCTAGGCAATATAGTGAGATCATATAGGAAAGTGAAAATGTTCTTTTTTTTGGGGGGGTACTGGGAATTGAATCCTAGGAGTGCTTTACCTCCCAACCCAATCCCCAGTCCTTTATTTAATATCATGCTATTTTGAGACAGGGTCTTGTTAAGTTGTTGAAAGTCTCACTAAGTTGCCAGGGCTGGCCTCAAACTTGCCATCCTCCTTCCTAAGCCTCCAGAGTGACTGGGATTGCAGGTGTGCACCACCAAATCCAGCCATATTGTGGAAATATTCTAAAAACTGATACATAGGGACAGTTGCACCACTTAGCAAATTTATTAAAAATCACTGAATTGAACCAGGCATGGTAGTGCACACCTGTAATCCCAGTGACTCTGGAGGCTGAGATAGGGGGATTGCAAGTTTGAGGTCAGCCTCAGTAACTAAGTGAGTCCCTAAGCAACTTAATGAGACCCTGTCTCAAAAAAGGCTGGGGATGTGACTCAATGGTTAAGCACCCCTGGTTTCAATCCCTGGTACCAAAAAACCCCACTGAATTATATATTTGAATTGGGTGAGTTTTATGTAACTTATACCTCAATAAAAGCATTCGTATATAAAATTAAAAATTTTTTTAAAAAAGGAAAATGGCCAGTCACAGTGGCACATGCCTGTTCTCCCAGCTGCTCGGGAAGCTGAGGCAAGAAGACTGCAAGTTTAAGGCCACCTTGGCAATTAGCAAGATCCTATCTCAAAATTAAAAAGGTTTGGGAGTGCAGCTCAGTGGCCCCGAGTACCAAAAACAGAATAAGAAAATGCAGCTGAGGGCAGGCCCGTGAGCCCTGGGTCCCAGCTACTTGAGGGGCCGGAGGATCACTTGAGCCCAGGAGTTTGAGGCCAGCCTGGTCAACATGGAGACCTTGTCTCAAACAAACAAAAGCCCCAAGGGGCTGGGCTCAGTGGTAGAGCACTCACCTAGTATGTGTGAGGCCCTGGGTTCCATCCTCAGCACCACATAAAAATGAATAAAGGTATTGTGTCCAACTACAACTAAGAAATATATCTAAAAAAAAACAAAAAAAGACAAATGCAAGAGGAAAAGGTAATAAATATTTGGTATGATGGGGAAGGGTTGGATTTAAAAGTCACTGAATATTTTTTTTTCATTGAACTCAAGGGCACTTTACCACTAAGCCACATCCCCAGCACTTTTTATTTATTTTTTATTTAGAGACAGGGTCTTGCTAAGTTGCTGAGGCTGGCTTTGAACTGGAGATCTTCCTGCCTCAGCTTCCCAAACTGTTGGGATTACAGGTGTGAGCCAGGAGCCCAGCTGTTTTGTTTTATTTAGAGGAAGGGTCCTGCTGCTGTTGCCCAGGCTGGTCTCTTAACTCTTAGGCTCAAGCAATCTAATCCTCTTGCCTCAGCCTCCCAAGTAGCTGGGAGAACAGGCAAAAGCCACCACTCCTCTCAGCATTTTTTTTTAAATTTTTCAGCATTTTTTTTTAAGGTACAGGGGATTGAACTCAGGTGCACTCTACCACTGAGCTACATCCCCAGTACTTTTCACATTTTAGTTTGAGACAGGATCTTGCTAAGTTGACTAGGCTGGTCTTGAACTTGGGATCCTCCTGCTTCAGACTGTGAGTAGCTAAGGTGACAAGAGTGTACCACTACACCTGACTTGAGTATCTTGAGTAAAAATCTAAAGATATGGGGGCTGGGGTTGTGGCTCAGGGGTAAAACGCTCACCTAGCATGTGCAAGGCCCTGGGTTCGATCCTCAGCACCACATAAAGATAAATAAAATAAAGGTATTATGTCCAAATACAACTATAAAATAAATATTAAAAAGAAAAAAACTAAAGATATGGAGGGAGAGTGCTCTAGGCAGAGGAATCGTTAAGTGCAAAGGCCCTGAGGTGGGAATGTGCCTGTGTCCAAGGCATCGCAAGGAGGTCGAGTGGAGAACAGAAGGCAGAGGGTGGAGCTGAAGCGGTGAGGTGAGGAGAGGAGCAGGGTGGGGTGGGGATTGTAAATGGGTCTTTCTCCCGCTGAGTGAGTGTGGCTTTGCCCACAGCTGAGGGCAGGATATGAGAGTGTGTGTTTCTCCTGGTGGAGCATGAATTCCATGAGGGTGGGGACTTGGTCTGTGGTGCTGTCACCGGATCTGTGTGACTCAGCCTTGGTGCTATCATTTGGTGAATCAGTGAGGTTACCTGAGGCCAGGGAGCGTGCTAATGGCAGGTTAGAGCAGCACAGAACGGCCAGTTTGGGTCCTGAGGTCAGTCCGCTGATGGGCGTCCTTGCTCCGCCCCTCACTGCTCGGTGGTAAGCAGCCCCCGACTTCTCTTCTCCTAAGGGGAAAACTTCCCTCACAAGTTTTGCACAGTCTGCCTGGCACAGGATGGAAGCCCAATACAGGTTAGTCTTTATAATTATTTCCCAAAACCTTATTATTGATCATGAAATTGGCAATAGGATCCTCAAGTTTATCTGAGGCCACGAGCCTGACAGCAGTGCAGCTTCGTGCCCAAGACACCGCTGGTGAGCTGCCACCCAGCCACGGAGGCCTTCCCAGGATGAAGCTCCCTGCTGCCTTTCAAGGCGGGTGAATGGGCACAGGGGAACGTGGCCCTGTCCGCCTCTCACTCACTGTTGGATTATGGTTAGGACCTGAGTCTGGGATCTTTTACAGAGACCCAAAAGATGGAGGCTTAGCAAGATGGTGCCATCTTCTTTCACAGGAGTCTGAGTTGAGGGGAATCAGAGCTGGTGCTCCAGGAGATCGCCCAGCGACTCGGGCTCCTTTATTACTGCCCATGGAAGTGGGCTTCTACCACTGGGTTCTTGGGAAGAAAAAGGGCAGGTGGGGAGCACAACCTGACCTAGGGCTTAGGGGTGTGGCTCCATGGTAGAGCGCTCGCCTATCATGTTCAAGGCCCTGGGCTCTATTTCAGCTCTCAGGAGGCTGAGGCATGGGGTTTGTAAGTTCTAGGCCAGGCTTGGCAAGTTAGGGAGACTGACTCAAAAATTAAAAAAGCCGGGGATGCAGCTCAGTGATGGAGCACCCTTGGTTCAATCCTGATGACCAGGAAGGCAGATGTACCCACGTGCTCACAACCCATTGGCCAGGACTTAGACAGATGGTTACATCTAACTGCAAGGGAAGCTGGGAAATATCATTCCTAGCTGGGCAGCTGTGCCCAGGAAAAACCTGGGGGCTTCTGTTACTGAAATAAAGGAGAAAATGGATGTGGGGTCCCATTTCTGTTGTCACTCCCTGTTGGTGGCATTAGTGGCAGTGAGTGCCCCTTTCTCCCTTGCTCTGCCAACTTCAGGTTTACAAATGGTGCCAGCTGGGGAGGTGGATGAAACAGGTGTGAGGTGCAAAGAAAAAACAGGCCAGCCAGCCTTCTGCTGTTTGGAAAGTGCCAGCTCCTCACCACTCAGTTGTGTCTGCCATGGCTAACAGGCCAGGACAGTAGCTTGTCTGTCCCAGGCCCGTCTGACCTTGGCCTCTGCTCATCTCAGGTATAGAACTCCCTTGTTGGCCGAGCCATGGCATCTGACAGGCCTGCCCTCCCCTGCTCATTCCCTATCATTTCTACATAAAATGCCCTGGAGCTGAGGCTCTCTCTGCAGGAGAAAGGGGCCTGCATCCCGACGGGTCTGCAGCAATATTGTGTTGTCAGCTTCTCATCACTGTGACCAAATGCCTGAGAAAACCCATGTACAGGAGGAAAGGTTTACTTTGGCTCACAGTTTCAGCTCATGGTCTCTTGGCTCCCTCGTCCCTGGGCCTGTGGTGATGCTGGCCACCATGGTGCCGAGCACGTGGTGGAGCAAAGCTGCTCACCTAGTGATGGCCAGAAGACAGAGCTGCATCACAAGGACAGAGCTGGTGACACAATACCTCCTTCAAGGCCATGCCCCCAGGGACCTATTACCCCCACCAGGCCCTGCCTTCTGAAGTTCCCATCACCTCTCAATAGCCTCACCAGATGGGTTCCCGGCCTTTGGGGGACAGTCCACATCCAAACTGAAACAGATACTGACTCCTTGGGTCA